CATAGAGCTTCACATTTCAAAGTATTTTTTGTTCTTCCTTCATCCTTAGCATATGTTCCTTTCAAAACTTTCATCCTGGGTCCGTTAATAGCGTACACTCAGGTTTATACTCAATATGCTCAATCACATACAATGATGGTTAAAGTAAATGTTACTATTTAAATGATATTTAAAATTTAAACAATATTTTCCCCTAAGTCTGTTTTTTTTTTTTTTATGACTATGAGTAGTTTATTACCAGACACAGGCTTATTTCTTATTGGTAAAAATGGAAAAGTTTATTAATTTGAACAAAAATGTAAATGAAAAGTACTGTCAGAAGATATGAATAGATTTTACTGACTTAAGTAATATAAATATCTATATTTCACAACTGGATTATAACTTGCTTTTAAAAATACCTATTTATAAACCAACAAGGTATTATAAATGCCTTTCTTGACTCTCTTGTTCTAAATCAGCTGTATGACCAAGTCCATACAATGTTTAACAAATTGCTTACTATACTTCTTAGCTATAAAAGTCCTTTACAATATTTCTCTATGGAATTGAATATTAAGGCGTACTAGAAGACAAATTTTAGCAGTATGTTTTTCAGTAATTATTTAAAAGTCACAAAGTACCCAAAAAGAACCTATTAGTATGACAGTGTGATCAACAAAGTACTGTCTGAGGTCCGTATGTGTATCATGAAAACTATCGGGTTTGTTCTGTGTGTGTATTCATGGTTAGGTTCAGTAATGTGATTAATCCTGGGCACTTTTGCTTCCAGGTGCTCATTCCATGCTCATATATTTGAGTTGTAAGGAACTATTTGTAGTTTTTACTCTTGTTTTCTCTATGCTAATTTTAAGTATGAACATTTGTGTATTATTTGCTGCATTAGTAAATGTTTTCCCCAAACAGATTAAGCAGATTAAGGGTTGTTGTGTTTAAGACTATTGTTTTCTTTTTTCTTTTTTCTTTTCTTTTCTTTTCTTTTCTTTTTTTGAGACGGAATCTCACTCTGCCACCCAGACTGGATTCAACCTCTGCCTCTCGGGTTCAAATGATTCTCTTGCCTCAGCCTCCTGAGTAGCTGGTACTACAACCTCACACCACTAGGCTTGGCTAATTTTTTTGTATTTTTAGTAGAGATGGGGTTTCACCTTGTTAGCCAGACTGGTCTCAAGCTCCTGGCCTCAGATGATCCACCTGCCCCGGCCTCCCAAAGTGCTGACATTACAGACGTGAATCACCATGCCCGGAAAGACTAAATTTTTTTTTTCTAAAGTTTTTATTTTGTAAATTTTAGAAATGATGCATGGATATTTAAAGTTCTATCACCTTAATACCAGGAAGGTATTAAGATACCTTAACACTGATACAGTGTTCTGCCATACGTCTTGTGTGTACGTTATCCTTTGTAAGCCCCGCAACAATCCTTCAGGATAGGTGTCATTAGTATTATTTTACAGGAAAAGCAGAAGCTGACACCATAATGACCATATGATGGCTAGTTGGTTTGAGGTTTCTCTTTCTTTTTGTTGTTCTTCAGTTCTCAAGTAAGCAGTTGAATATGTATCTGGATTTCAAGGGACAGTTTTAGACCAGAGATATACTGACAAATTTATGCATGATAAAAAAACAAATACAAATTTGATGTTCTCACAAAAAAGTGTTTTTGTGTTACAAAAATTAGTTGAAATGATTTCTACCTATGGCACATTGTCAGTTTTGCACACAAAATATAATTACTGTTAAAGGATCTACCCTTTTTTTATGCATACAGAGCCTTTTATTCATAAGCTACAACAAATTACAGTACACGGGAGCACAAAGTGTATTGTGCTTTTTGGTTTTGCTTTGTATTTATTTATTTCTGCTAAACCAGACCTAGTCTTCAATCCCCTTTTCTATCACTTACTAGTTTTTTATGTCTTTGGGCAGGTCATTATAATTCTCTGAATCTTATTTTCTGGCTTGTAAAACCAGATCAAAAATTATCTAACTTGCATGTCACAGAATAGGAATCCCAGAAACACATTTAGCCTTTTAGAACATGCTAAAAATAAAGTGTAAAAATAATGAGAAAAAGATGAATCATTATAAAGATGTAGGTGGAAAGCTTAGGGCATACATTCAAACTATAGAACATCTATTGCTGGTGGCTCTGCCTCCTCTTCGTCCACCCTGCAAGCACTGGGCCATGGGCAGAAAATTGTGGGGCAAAGGAGGAGGGCTTTTCTGATGTAACCCAGAGTTTTCCTGGGAAGGAAAGACTATCTCAGTGTCTAATGCCCCTGTCAATACAAATTAATCCAAAAACAGATTAATCTGGCATGTCTTTATACATTACACATCACCAAAAATGGATTTTAATAACAAACATTTTGTTAGGTATTTTTGATATGTTAATACCTGTGAAAGCACCTTCCCAGTCTAGCTAGGTGGACCTGACTTTGAATTCTGATGACAGCACTCTTTAACTGTGTGCCTTGGATAAGTTTCATGATTATAGCAACCTGTTTCTACATCTGTAAAATGATATTGTGATTAATCTACCTGAAAGTGTGGTTCTGAGCCTTTAATGAGGCATTCATGGAAAGGCTAGCACAGTGTTTGCCTCATGCTCCACATACACTAGAGGTGATTATATGAGTTGTTCACTAAAGGGTGTTCAGATTATTACCATTATGTTATCACTTCATGCCTTCACATATTCTGTCTTACTGACATATCCTTTGCCTTTTCCCTGTCCGTTGTGTTCCTGGGAATTCTATAATTTTATTTGTCCGTCTATCACAGTGCCTAACACAAAGCTTGATAGTAAAAAAAAGTACATTTTTGATGGAAGAATGAATAATGAAACTACTAAACTAAAGGCAAAGAGAGTGAACAGTTTCTTAGTGGAGAAGAGTTTCCCTTAAGGCTATTCTTGTGAAGTGAGAGTCAACAAGCTTTTTTCCATAAAAGGCCAAGAGTTAATGTTTTAGGTTTTGTTATCAGTAAGGTCTCTGAAACAACTACTCAGCTCTGTCCCTGTAGCATGTTCGCAGCCATAGATAGTACATAATGTGAGGCTGTATTCCAATAAAACTTTATTTTTATAGGACTAAAATTTGAATTCCATGTAATTTTCGTGTGTCATCAAACTTTTGTGAATTTTTTTTCAACCACTTAAAAATGAAAAAATTATTCTTAGCTCATAGACCATATAAAAAGAAGTAGAGGGTTGGATTTGGCCTGCAGCCATAATTTGCCAGTCTCTGAGCTAGAAAAATAATGTATAACCCAAACTGGAGGGAATTCTGGCTTATTAGTCAATGTCCATTAGACCCATCATCATAATAGGAAAAGGATATTGTGGAAATGTGAGGGGGCCTCAAAATACAATTTTTTTAAAAAAAGTTGAGTTATAATCTCCTTCAAGGTAGCTGTGCAGCCTTGGGAAAGCTTCTTGACCTTTCTAAGCCTTAGTATTATCATGTGCAAAATGAACATAATAATCACAATTTTTTAGTGTTGTTATTAGAGAGTATATAGGTGTCTAATAGGTAATCAATAAACTGTAGCAATTATTGCATGTTTAGATTTAGTTTTTCCAATATGTTATTTCTCAAATAGTTCTGTTTTCTCCTGCTATTTTTTTTTTTTTTTAAATAACTTTAAAGTTCAGGGGTATATGTGCAGGTTTTTTACATAGGTAAACTTGGGTTATGGGGGTTTGTTGTGCAGATTATTTTGTCACCCAGGTATTAAGCCTAATACCTATCAGTTACTTTTCCTGATTCTCTCCTTCCTTCCACCCTCCACCCTCCAATAGGCCCCAGTGTGTGTTGTTCCCCTCTATGTGTCCACGTGTTCTCATTATTTAGCTCCCACTTGTAAGTGAGCACACATGGCACTTGGTTTTCTGTTCCTGCGTTAGTTCACTAAGGATAATGACCTCCAGCCCCATCATGTCCCTGCAAAGGACATGATCTTGTTTCTTTTTATGGCCACATAGTACTCCATGATGTAAATGTACCGTATTTTCTTTATTCAGTCTATCATTGATGAGTAAATGTTCTACCTTAGCAGTTTTGCCTTTCTTACCCTTGCCTGTTTCACATTTATAAAAATTTCTTTAATGCCTTAAAAATTTGTGAATTTGAGTCAGAATTCTTAAAGGTGTTTCCTTTTTTATCGCGTATTTGCATTGTTTATAACAGTGGGGCTCAAATATAATAAAAGCCACATATATAATTATAAATTGTCTAGTAGCTACGTTAGAAAAAAGTAAAAAGAAACAGCTAAAATTATCAATATGTTTTATTTAATATCATATATCCAATATCCAAAATACATTTAATATGTAATTAATATTTTAAAAATTGTGATATATTCTTTTTTTTTTTATTTTATTTGAGATGGAGTCTCACTGTATTACCCAGGCTGGAGTGCAGTGGCATGATCTCAGCTCACTGCAACCTCTGCCTCCCGGGTTCAAGCGATTCTCCTGCCTCAGCCTCCCCAAGTAGCTGGGACTACAGGCTAGTGCCACCACACATGGCTTATTTTTGTATTTTTAGTAGAAATGGGGTTTCCCCATGTTGGCCAGGCTGGTCTTGAACTCCTGACCTCAGATACTCCTCCTGCCTTGGCCTCCTAAAGTGCTGGGATTATAGGTGTGAGCCACTGCTCCCGGCCGATATTTTGCCTTTTTTTTTTTTTTTTTCCCATATAAAGTCTTTAAAATTTAGTAGATACTTTACACTTATAGCACCTCTCAACTCATACTAGTCACATTTTGTGTGATTTCTAGCCTGTAGCTACTTGAACAGTCCAGGCAGGCCCATATATGATAAATAGCAATACTTCAGACACATGATATTCCCAGAAGTTCATCTTAGACTTTAGTGGTAGTAAACAAGCTCTTATTTTACATTATTAAAACTGACAATATAGAAATGTTTTGTATTATATTTCAAATAAGTAAAAATGTACCCAACTCACAAAAGTAATGCTGTACTTTACAGACCGGAGTACATTGGGAAGCATCAAAGAAGGAATCTTGAAAATCAAAGAAGAACCATCCAAAATACTATCTGGAAATAAGTTTCAAGACCGGTATTTTGTTTTACGAGATGGGTTTCTCTTTCTTTACAAGGATGTGAAGGTATAGTATTTGAACATGCATACATTTTTATTTGTGTGGATATTAACATTCATATTTTATGCTACTCTCAGCCATCTCTCTTGGACGTCACTGCCTGTAGTATATAAAATGCATGGTAAGCTGATGATTTCCTTCAGCCTCTGGGATGAGATATTAATGCACTCAGTAACACAGTGAAGAATTTTGTAAGGCCTTTTTAGGCACCTCAGATTTTGTAGGATAGTGAATGACTTAAGCCCTGAAGAAAAGTCTAATATGTGTTATAAATCAACATCTCAGTCAATAAAATTAATAGAGAATGTGTGATAACCTAAAATAAAAGGCTTCAGATTAGCTACTGGAAATTAATAAAAGGTGCAATAAAATGACCAAACCACAAAGTTAAAATAAATGTTGTTAGTATCTTTCCTATACAGTTGAATGAATTGACTCATTTTTAATTTCATATGTATTAATTTAATCTTATTGATATATCCCCTGTAATTTAGTTCCCTAAAAGATCTTATTAAATAATTGTGGAGTGGATAAGAGAATTAGATATATAAAAGAGGGAGTAGATAAATGATGTAGCTATAAGGCCGGGCGCGGTGGCTCAAGCCTGTAATCCCAGCACTTTGGGAGGCCGAGACGGGCAGATCACGAGGTCGGGAGATCAAGACCATCCTGGCTAACATGGTGAAACCCCGTCTCTACTAAAAATACAAAAAACTAGCCGGGCGAGGTGGCGGGCGCCTGTAGTCCCAGCTACTCGGGAGGCTGAGGCAGGAGAATGGCATAAACCCAGGAGGCGGAGCTTGCAGTGAGCTGAGATCTGGCCACTGCACTCCAGCCTGGGCGACAGAGCGAGACTCCGTCTCAAAAAAAAAAAAAAAAAAAAAAAATGATGTAGCTATAAAAATATTGAACTTAACATCAGAAAATCTCATCTCTGTGAAGAACTGGTTACATGAATAAGTAACTTAACCTCTCAACTTCAGTATCCAAATCTGTAATTTAAGATAGTATGAGTTCTGCATGTCATGTTGTTTTAATGCTTAAAAAATATATATATTTTTTATATTCTCCAGGTGCAGGTTACACCAGTGTGTTCACTTTATTAAAATTCATTGAGCTAAATATTTATGATCTGTGTACTTTTTATATATGTATTATATATACACTGCAATTTTTAAAAAGCATTAGGATAAAAAAAGCAAAACAATTATGTGCATAGGCCCCACCTCCAGGATCTGGTTTTTATAAGACTGCGACAGGTGTTGTTAACAGCATTTTTCTTTAATTCATTGAATTTATTTTTTTTATTTATTTTTTATTTTTTGGCTTTTAAGTTCAGGAATGCAAGTGAAAATTTGTTAGATAGGTAAACTTGAGTCATGGGGATTGGTTTTACACATTATTTCATCACCTAGGTTTTAAGCCTAGTGCTTATTAGTTGTTTATTTTTCTGATCCTCTACCCTCCACCCACCAAAAGTCCCCAGTGGGTGTTGATCTCCTCTGTGTGTCCATGTGTTCTCATCATTTAGCTCCCACTTGTAAGTGAGAACATGTGTTGTTTTTCTATTCCGTGTTAGTTTACCAATGATAATGGCCTCCAGTTCTATCCATGTTCTTGCAAAGGACATGATCTCATTCTTTTTTATGGATGCATAGTATTCCATGATCATGGTGGATAAGTTTTTTGGTGTGCTGGTGAATTCCTTTTACCAGTATTTTGTTGAGGATTTTTGCATTGATGTTTCATCAAGGATATTGGTCTGAAGTTTTCTTTTTTATTGTATCTTTATCAGGTTTTGGTATCAGGATGATGCTGACTTTATAGAATGAGTTAGGAAGGAGTTCCTCCTCAATTTTTTGGAATAGTTTCAGTAGGAATGGTACCAGATCTTATTTGTACATCTGGTAGAATTCAGCTGTGAGTCTATCCGGTCCTGGGATTTTTGTGGTTGGTAGGCTTTTTATTACTGCTTCAATTTCAGAACTGGTCATTGATCTGTTCGGGGGTGCAGTTTCTTCCTGGTTTAGTGTGGGAGGCTGTATATGTCCAGGAATGTACCCATTTATTCTAGTTTTTCTAGTTTATGTGCATATAGGTATTCATAATATTCTCTGATGGTTGTTTATATTTCTCTGGGGTCAGGAGTAATATCTCCCTTGTTGTTTCTGATTGTGTTTATCAAATATTCTCTCCTTCTTCATTAGTCAGGCTAGTGGTCTAATAATATATGTGTAAATTCTTTTTATAAATATAATGTAATAATAATAGCATGCTCCTCCAAAGATACCTTAAGAATGTGAACAGGCAAGTCCCAGAGTGAGAAAATGTATTAACATGTATCAGAAAAAAGACTCATATCAGGAGTATAAAGAGCTCTTCTAAATCAACAATAAGAAAAACTGTTTAATAAAAAGTTTGGCAAGGATGGAACAGACATTACACGAAGGAAGATGTAGAAATGGCCAATAACCCATTGAACCAAAAGTGTTCAGTATCATTAGTAATCAGGAAATTAAAATTAGAACCACAAAACATTATTTTACATTCATTGGTATGACTAAAATGTTAACAGTGATAACAACCAATGTTAAAAATGATGTAGAATAATTAGAACTCCCACATAAATTGTTGGTGGAAGGGTAAAATCACACAATCACGCTGTAAAACTATTTGTCAGTTTTTAAATGAAGTTACTAACATAATCTACCCCATGATCCAGCAGCTCTACGCAAAGCATTTGTGATTCACAAATGCACTTGTACAAGAATGTTCATAAGCAGATTTATTCATAAAAGCTGCTAACTGGAAGCATTCCAAATGTCCACCAATAGGAAAATATCCTATTTGTATAATGGAATACTACTCAGCAACAAAAATGAATGTTAACACAAGTCACAACCTTGGTGAGTTTTTAAAACCTTTGAAACCAAAGAAGCTTGACACAAAATAGTATCATATAGGTCTGTTCATAAGAAGTCTAAGAACAGGCAGAACCATTCTATAGTGATAGAAGTCAGAAAGTGTTTGCTTAGGTTGGGGACAGAATTTGCTGCAGAATTGCCAAGGAAAAGGGTCAGTGGGTTACTTTCTAGATAGAAATGTTCTTTATCCTGTTTTGGATGGTGGTCACATGGGGGTATGCAGCAACAACTCTCTTTGAGATTCAAATAATACCAAGGCAATTACTTTAAACGTAGAATGGAAGTCAGCAGAACCTGGAAAATACTTTTTTAATATTGAATTATAAAATTCACTTGGGTAAACATTGCTTGCACACTTATAAGTGAATGGTGCTTCACTGTGTTCTGTTGTGGAGATGCACAAAGAAAGATCAGACTGTAACATCTGTTAATATGTTACAAAGAAAAAATTGTTAAGCAGCTTTCCAAAGCCGCGGCTGTAGTGTTCTGTGGCTTCTGTTCAGCACTTCCTATGCTTTAATTACTATCCCTGTATATTCCTCCAGGAGAGAAACCTCCATCTGAGCATGAATAAATCATAGTAGCATCCTATTCTGTGTATACATTCCGTGTTTGCTTTCCTCATGGACAATGGAATGTCCAGGCAGGAGACTAATAAAACAGCCTGAATTCTGCAGCCCTTATCACAGATTCATATTATATATTGCACTTGAACCCCACTTGATATCCGGAAGGGAGTCTGTGTGGGTATCAAGTGGTTACTATCATTTACTAACATTCTTCATTTTACCCATAAAAGAATAGTAGATTTTGTAGAATTATGGGGTTATGTGATGGAACACATCAGATTTTAAGGTTCACGAACTTTACGTTTGTGCTTGTGAAAATACAGGCTAGACTTCACAGCTTATTGTTCTAGTCAAGTAGAACTGAATCTGATAGAATTTTGTTTGGTTTTGTGCAGTGGACCACCCACCTTGATTTTCAAAAGACTGATTTCTTTAATCACAGTCCTTACATATACATAGTATGTTGGTTAAGGATCACTTTTGCAGTTGGCGTATATAGAAATCAACCTGAACTTTTTGTCCCGTCAAGAAACTGACACTTTATTGTGTAGCAACAGAAGGTTGCTAAAAACAAATATAGTAGTTTGTGGTAGCAGTAATGACAGTGCAGTAATAGTAGCAGCAACTAACATTCAAGTGGCTACTCTATGTGAAGCAGAGTTCCATACATTTTATTTGGATTATCTCATTTTATCTATACAGTTACCCCCACGAAATTGGTACTCTTATTATTCCCACTATGCAGATGAAGAAACAGACTCTCCAAGATGTTACATAACTTGTCCAAAACCACATACACAGTAAGCGACGGGGTCAGAATTCACTTCCAGGCATTGGACTCCAAAGGCTCTATGCAGAAACTTACAAAGGAAATTTAACGTTTGTATTACTTTAGTGTTTTTGCTGAAATAATTTTATGTGGAGAGAATAAGTTTATTTTTATTAAATAGCATCAAACATTTTTAAATAAGGAAATGCAAACAATTCAGTTTTTACAGCATTTTCTCTCAAGCTGATGTACACTTTAATATCTGCTACAGGGAAGCCTGTTCATGCAGTGACTTTTACAGATACATTGTTTTTGTAAGTGACATGAAGGGCCTCATATCCCTTAACAGAGTAAGTTTTGCTTTAAGAATCTGTATCTTTTTGAAAGGATCATCTTGCTGAGATTGAGCTAACTTATATAACCTGATAGGCAGTGATAGTCTCAAGAACTTGTCTGAAAACAGTGCTCTTTAAGGATACTGAACACATTTTTTAATAACAGTAACCTCGAGTTATAGAATTATTGTCTGATTATTAAGCGTTTGAAAATTATATTTGCATATCTGTCAGAATAGATTAATGCAACTGATACTTTAATTTGTACATTTTGAAAAGCAGATGAGAGATTCATGCTTTTCCTTTAAAGTCAAACTGTGGTTATTTTCAACTCATGACTTCGTTTTGTTATTTTTTCATGTTACGGATCTGTCCCTATTAATATTGATGGTGAAGCCATTGGCAATGCTAACTTTTCAAGTGTTTTTATAGTAAATTATCAAAAGTAAAATCTCCCAACTTTTTTGAGTAAAGAGTTAGCATTTGTTTTAGTGGTTGCCATTAATATATGCATGCTTGTATATATTTTTTAAATGATTTAGTTAAAAGGGAGGAAAAATTACAAATTGAGAAGTGTATTTAAAGAGACTTTGTGTTAATTAGAGCTGATTTATGAATGCTCATTAAGAACAAATTGTGGTAATACACAGGGGAAGATATCTTTTGTTCTGCAACCTTTCCCTGCACAGAAAATGTTAATTGTTTTCAGACTTAATTTACATAAAAGGTGAGAGGTTTCAGAGAATATTACCATTATACTGTTAATAGTGTGAAGAAAGCAAATGGGTAAAGGGGGTCATTAAAAGTTGCTTATACTTTAATAAACAAACTCTTTTTAGGTACCAAGAATAATTTTTTAAGCATGCTCATTTAATTGCTAACTTAAAAACTTTACTTTGAAATGAAGTGACTGAAGCAACACATTTCAGACTTCATAATGGTCTAGTATATTGAACTTTTTGGAGAAATTCTCTATAAATTACACATACCAAAAGAGAAAGTTGTAATAAGCCAGCAGTAAAGCGAACTTGCCAAACGACATTTCCTTTTATAGAACTTTCCATTAAGATCTATATAGCTCCTCTTTATGAATATTCAGTTTCAAAATGGAAATGGAAAAAATGTGTTTCTACAATTGCTGAACTCCTCTCAAATTATATCATTTGTGTTTCTTTGGACAGGCTGTGGTATAAAGTAATGAGCTTGCATGCCAGGAGTGACTTGGGCAGTCAATTACCTCAGACTCTCAAACTACTTATTACCAAAAGTTTTTCAAAATGTAGGCAGTCTTGAAATCATCAATGTCCTGTGTAAATCAAGGCTGTCTGGTTCAGTCACAGTGTTTCTCATTCTCAAATATGCAAGTCCTATCTTCCCCATACTGCTAGAGTTGCAGCCAACCCTGCTGCCTCAGTCGGGACTGCTTCTGAGGGAATAGCAATCTAAATTATTAAAAGAAACACAAACCTTGGTTGTAATTTGATTTAACCTCTGACACAGGTGACTAGGAGTCACCTATACTGCATACATTCCTCATAGGTCTGTCTCCTCTCCTTGAATATATCATACTGTGGACACTTACTCCCTTACAAAGCTACCTCATACTAGACAGTTCAAATTGTTAAAATGTTCTTCCTTAAAATTCAGCAAATTTCCCGGCGTGGTGGCTCATGCCTGTAATCCCAGCACTTTGGGAGGCCGAGGCGGGTGAATCACGAGGTCAGGAGATCGAGATCATCCTAACTAACACGGTGAAACCCCATCTCTACTAAAAATACAAAAAATTAGCCAGGCGTGGTGGCAGGCACCTGTAGTCCCAGCTACTCAGGAGGCTGAGGCAGGAGAATGGCATGAACCCGGGAGGCAGAGCTTGCACTGAGTGGAGATTGCGCCACTACACTCCAGCCTGGGCAACAGAGCAAGACTCCGTCTCAAAAAAAAAAAAAAAAAAAAAAAAACACCAGCAAATTATCAGGCTACAGAATCAAAATCCAAAGATCCAGTTGGATTTAAAAGAGAAAAATGCATAAACTACTTGAAAACAGCCTTAAGAAGTGGAGGCTTATGTGAAGAAAGTTATAGAACTTCTCTGATAGGAGAAAAATTGATATTAAATCTGCTAATGTTGATTTATAGGTTTAATGCAATTATTTTCGAGTTTGCAAAGGAAATTACTTTTATAACTTTTCAAAAATATTTGACAATTCACCTCAAAGGATAATTAGATAAGAATAATTTGAAGATATTTTGGGAGATAAGTAAAATGGATTTGAATTATTTTTCCATCCAACTATTAAGATATACAGTAAAACTAAGATACTTAAATATTATAATCCTTGTATAAAAGTGAACAAGGAGCAATGGTACCATCAATTCAGGTAAAAAATTATATGTTAGAATTTTAATTTTAATAAATATGCCACAAAACATTCATGTCTAAAGGGATGTTTGTTCAATAAATTGGGGGTAGAATATTGTCAACAAAAAAATTTAAGTCTAACTTATCATTTATACTGTATATAAAAAAATGTATTCCAGATTGACAAAAGATTTAAATCCTAAAAAAAGCAACCCTTAAAGCTACAAGACCATGGAATTGAATATTTATCAGCTGTATGGGAACACTTTAAACTTAAGCAAACATTAACAAAGCACCCCCCAAAAGACCATTATATTTGACTTATTAAAAATAAGGTAAACAATGAGCTAGGTTAAGGCAAAGAGAAACTTGGATAGAATATTTCATTTAAAAAGACAAATTTCGTATTAAATACATAAAGAACTAGTACAAACAAATAAGTAAAGACATCAATAAACTGTTTACCACATCAAAACTGCAAATGGCTAGCAAATATGTAAATACACACTTAACATTTGTGTTACCTTAGTGTTTTTGATAGGGTAAATAAATGTACCCTATCAGTTTAGACAAGATTTTTTTTCTGAATCATATTCTTAGCCTATGACTCAGTGGTTAAATTTCTAGAAATCTAGCCATAAGGGGAAAAATTCAAAATATGTTTTTTTAAACATATTATCTACAATGATAATAATAGTGAACTTCAACTGATAATAGTGATTAGGAATAAATTCACCATGTAAATTCTAGCTCTTTGGTCATCACAGCATTATTTCTGACCATCTTCCTGGTTACTTTTCCTCTGTATTTCTTTTATATCCTCCTAACCTATTTGCTTTATGAAACTAATTTTTAATTTTATGAGCATATTTTCCTCCTTTTTCCATTTTGACTGCTTTCTGAGTATTGAGAGGGGGTGTAAAGAAAATATAATTGCTCCAGGGCCAACTGTAAATTTTTAATAGTCTGTTTTAATTAGGATAGTTTTCATTAATTTGGATATTTGAGATACCTCAATATGTGTTCATATATATTCACGAGTCTGTTTTCCATAGTTCCGAAATCCAAAAAGTATAGAAAATCCCAACTCATTTGGTGGCAAAATCTGACCCAAAACAATACGAAGATATATATAGCCTTTATCTTGAAAATATGAGTATGTTTGAATACAGGGTACTGTCCCAGTCAACATTGGTGATGGGGAGTTACGAAACATATGGCATATGCATTGTATTATATTTTTAAAATATGAAAAATCACTTCTGATGTGATTTGGTCAGGGTCCTCTAGAGGGACAGAACTAATAGGATAGATGTATATAGGAAGGGGGGTTAAGGAGTATTGACTCCTACAATCACAAGGTGAAGTCCCACAATGGGCCATCTGCCAGCTGAGGAGCAAGGAAGCCAGTGGTGGCTCAGTCTGAGTTCCAAAACCTCAAAGTAAGGAGGCCAACAGTGCAGCCTTCAGTCTGAGACTGAAGGCCGAGAGCCCCTGCCAAACTGCTGGTGTAAGTCTAAGAGTCCAAAAGCTGAAGAACTTGGAGTCTGATGTTCAAGGGCAGGAAGCATCCAGCACAGAGAAAGATGAAGGCCGGAAGACTTAGCAAGTCTGCTCTTCCATCTTTTCCTGCCTGCTTTATTCTAGCCACATTGGCAGCTGATTAGATGGTGCCGACCCAGATTGAGGGTGGGTCTGCCTCTCCCAGTCCACTGACTCAAATGTCAGTTTCCTTTGACAACACACTCACAGACACACCCAGGAACAATACTTGGCATCCTTCAATCTAATCAAGTTTGCACTCAGTATTAACCATGACATGATGCACATCTGACCCCAAGTGTTTTTGAATCAAGAATTATAGAGCTATGTGCATGGCTCTATAATATATACAGGTGTACACATATATAACATGAATATATCCAACATTATCAATAGGTATTTGATTGTATTGTAAATCAAAAGAGTCTTCATTTACTAAACTCATGAAATGTTCGTTTTATGAAACATTCAGAAACTAAACAATTCTAAACCCAATCATTAATGCTCAAAGAAAATGTAAGGAAATGTGTAAATCCATTTAATTACAAATTATTTTGTTTTCCTTACAGAGTAGTAAACATGACAAAATGTTTTCTCTCAGTTCCGTGAAGTTTTATCGTGGAGTGAAAAAGAAAATGAAGCCTCCAACAAGGTAAAGTTTGAAAGGGAAGTGCTGAAAGGAAAAAAATTATGGGAAAACATGTCTGTTTAAGGATTTAGGGATCAGTGACATTAGTCTAACTTTTTAGTAAGTAAGTTTTAGGCAATTTTTTTTTTTAAGTTACTTCCCCTGTCACAGGGTTCTTACGGCAGATCAAGGAACTTGTATGAGTAGATAAGGAGGGATGATGTTCCCACTGAGACCGAGATCCTTGGTGATTACAGTCTCTCTATGTAAAGTAAGAAATCCCAGGAGGCCCTGTCTGTTGGGAAGTACATGACTTCCTCTGCATCTCATTCCCTCAGCTGTCACATCACAAGCTGAGGGCAAGTCTACACACTGGAAAGCAAATGCTGCCCTCCGGCTTCCTGATGCGTGGCTTCTACAATGTTTTGATTCTGGCTCTGTAATTTTCCCTTTGTACTATACTGACTTTGGTACTGAAAACCCATAGCATGTAAGTGGTAGAGAGGAGGTGGGCGCCTCCTACAGGTTGTGTGCCTCTTTAACACTTCATGTACCCCAGCATTTGGTCTACACCACAATTTCTTATCACAGATTACTTTGATTAGCTAATAAATGTTTGCACTAATAATTAGTATCATGAACATCATTTATGTGTGCTTGCTTCTGAGATTTTGTTGCCGAAAGTTTCTTCACTTTTTCCTTCATACTCAGTTTCTAAGCCTAGCGCATATACCTGTGTTTTAATAGGCATGTTCTTTAATTTCCCCCAGGAACAGTACGTACGTCTCTCTGTATTATCTTATTTCAGTCATTTGGCCTTATTCAGTTAAGAGTATCTTCTCAGAGACGTCTCCTCTCTGCCCCATGTCATCACAAGCCTCCTCCCCTCTATATAAATGTGTAGACAGATCCCTTAGCATTTAGCGTTCACCTCTAGCTAAGTCCAGCACATTGAATCATCACTTGTGGAAGTCTATACATTCCCACCATTAAATCTCATCTCCTTAACATTCTAACCCTGTTTTCTGCCTTGTAAAATGTATCATTTTTAATTTATGTGTGTGTGTTTTTTTTTTCTATGTGATGCAGTTGGGGATTGACCGCATATTCTGAGAAACATCACTGGTAAGTTAACAGCTGTCAACTTTTGGACATAATATATTGGTGACAATTTCAGGAAAAGAATAATTTCAGTAATTTCAGATAGAGCTACAGACAGAAAGTGTTTTGCCTAAGCGAAACTAGGGTTATTTGTAAAGACTTTGAGCCTAGGAAGAGGAAAATAGATTTGTATCAGGGTTCAAGTTCCTGATAATTTGTCAATGCCTCTGAAGTGAAACTACATCTGATTTCTTCCATAGTTATTATGAGTGTGGAATTCAGCTTTTATGAGATAAGTAGGTGATAGTTTTAAAAAAGAATAAGAACTAGCAAAAATCAGATTTATGACAAACATATATCCTGCTTTCAACCCTGTTCTTTCTATATATGTACTTTTTGCCATCTACTGTTACCAGTATCTACCAGTATTTCTAGAGATTGTACTAGGTGTTTCCTTCTCTTCACCTCCTTGTGTCTAATCAGTCACTGAGCCGCACGAGATCTGCCTCTTCCTTGTGCCCCTCATCCACCTACACCTGTCTACCCTCAGGGCCAGGCCTTCATTGATCTGCCGGGATTATTCTAGGAGTCCTAAGTGCTCTTCAGGCCTCTGCTTTGCTTTTGTTTTGGCATACATTCTCCACCTCTCCATTGAGGAGTGTTTTCTATGCTGTACTATGTATCTCTCCTGCTTTAAAACTTCTGTGAATTCTTTCACCTGTAGGATCAAGCACACAATTGTTGTGTAGCATGCATGGCTGTATATGACTCTGCCAACTTCATCTCCCACAGCTTTTCTTTTTCACTTAATGACAAAACAAGCATCTGTCTTTATTCCCCATGCATTCCTTGCTGTTTCAGATCTGCATGTGTGATGTACATGGTCCCTCTACTGTACCTTTGTTCATACTTTTCACTTCTCCTTCCTTTCATACTTTCATTCTCCCCATGATGACCAACCAACTCAACTGTCGCTGTTCTTTGAAATCATAACTCAAATGCCCCAAAGCCTTAACTAATAGCTCTCACCTCTGATCATTATTTATTTCTTCTTTGCACCTACAGTATTTTATAAATAAGGATACATAATTAAAATGATTTGTGGCAGAAATGATTTTCCTGGACATGGTAATAGGGAAAGACAATGTTTTCATGAGGTTCTAAAGAAGAAAACACACATTTTTTAGAAATTTCATTTTCAATATTTTTCAGGTAAATTATTTTGATAATACAGGAATGTAAAAAATACAATTAATTGGGCCGGGCGCGGTGGCTCATGCCTGTAATCCCAGCACTTTGGGAGGCCGAAACGGGTGGATCACGAGGTCAGGAGATCGAGACCATCCTGGCTAACACGGTGAAACCCCGTCTCTACTAAAAAAAAAAATACAAAAAACTAACCGGGTGAGGTGGCGGGCGCCTGTAGTCCCAGCTACTCGGGAGGCTGAGGCAGGAGAACGGTGTGAACCCAGGAGGCGGAGCTTGCAGTGAGCTGAGATCCGGCCACTGCACTCCAGCCTGGGCCACAGAGCGAGACTCCGTCTCCAAAAAAAAAAAAAAAATACAATTAATTGAAATGCCCGTTAGGTCTTTCCAGTATCAATTATAAATTTTTCCTCTTATAAAAAACAACCCTCTCCTCATCCTGAAGTCTGTGGTTTCTATGCTTGCATTCAATTTTATTTTTGCTTTTTCTCACTGTGTTGTAATTTATTTGTCTGCATGCTTAAGTCCCCTAATAGACTACAGGAGCCTTCAGGACAACGTCTCTGTTTTACTGAGGCTTTCAATAAAAGGTTACTTAATCACTGTTATTGGATAGGCAGTGGTTTCTCCTGTAGTTTTATTTTTTATGAATCTGTGGGTATTAGTGTTTATAATCACAATGATGGATACTATGTCTCGGCCTTTTTAAAAGAAAGATCTGCTCTTCAGAGAATGTGCACATATTTTTCTTCTCAGGCTCAGAATTTCAGTGGAAAACAGTGTTTTACCATCATGTCCTTGAAAAGGCAAAATGAAATTGATCTTTCTGCCTTTCCAAAAAATATTGGTGATCATTTTGCAGCATTTACCAAAGCCTTCAGCTGTATTTTGTTTAAAACAATATATTTACAGGATAACTTTGTAGTGTACATTTAGCAGAAGACCAAAACAGCTTGTACTGAAATGTTCCACTTTCGTGATTGCGTTATGTCATTAATCAGGAGAAACCCAAAGAGATTTTTGATCACCAAATCACCCAACAGATACACTAGAGAATAGTCAATTGTCTTTGTGAATGACATAGTTTATACACCTCGTTTTGCAGGCACCTGTGTTGTGATAGTTCACGAACTCAGACGGAGTGGATGACCAGTATCTTTATTGCCCAGGTATGAGATTTGTTTGAACTATCCAGTAGAGTATAATAACTTTGTTTACAGGAAATTTTAGTGTGATGGTGATTTTTAAAGAATTTTAATAAGCATTTTAAATGTATATACAATTGGCATAAACTTTGATTCTCCGCTTCTTAGTTTTTAAAATAGTGTATTAAAATTCAAATGTATTCATTACCTTTTGAAAGAGAGTTTATTCCATTAAAGCTTCTTTTCTGCCAGCCCCACAGCCTCCTTGGCTTAGGTGAGGTATGTTGCTTTAAAATGGTCGTATAAGAAAGAGGGACTTTTCTAAGCTGTCATCCTACCAGAGTCCCACATAGACCTTCATTTAGAAAAGTGTTCTGTTTCCCTTCTTGTTCTCCCACTCTCTCCACCCCTGCCTTTCCAGAAACAAGGACAGGAACCTACTTTTCTTTAATAACTATTGTGTGCTAGATACTTCATAAGAATAACTCATGTATTCCTTGCAGCAAACGATACAAGATGTTTTTTGGCTTTATAAAACAAAGATTTTGTTGTTTGCTCAGGACCATATATGTAATTAGTAGTTTAAACACAGGGGTGTCTGAGGCCAATACTCATACTCAGTTCTGTATTTGTTTTCCTCCCTAGAGCAGGACTTACCCTTTTGAGGAACGGTTAAATAGTCCCATTAATTGGACTGGTTTGTTTCGCAACCTTGTCTAGCTAAATTCCCAGCAATGCTTCTCCTGGAGCATTGAAATTCATTGGTAACGATTAAGTTGCCATTCTTTATTACTGAAAAGGTATTTTTCTGTTTCCCTTACAAGGAATAAGTTAGCTCGCTCCAAAATCTAGTTCTTATTTGTTCTGAAAATAGTTTGCTCTGTTCATTTAATGTATTAACCTTTCCAGTGGTTAATAAACACAGCTCTTCTCAGTCTGTCTCTCTACTATTACTACCTGGAAAAACATGTGCAGAGACTGGCTGCTAACTTTTTAGAGGCTTTTTTTTTCTTCTTCTCTTCCTTCTTCTCCTTCTCCTTCTTTTTTCTTCTTCTTCTTCTTTTTTTTTTTTTTTTTTTTTTGTAAATTTTTAAAATTCAGATATTCAACTTTTTTGGGGGGGGAGGGGGGACTGGAACAGAGTCTCGCTCTGTTGCCCAGGCTGAAGTGCAGTGGTGTGATCTCAGCCCAGTGCAATCTCTGCCTTCTGAGTTCAAGTGATTCTCCTGCCTCAGCCTCCTGAGTATCTGGGATTACAGGCGCGCACCACCATACCCAGCTAATTTTTGTATTTTTAGTAGAGATGGGGTTTCACCATGTTGGGCAGGCTGGTCTCAAACTTCTGACCTCAGGTGATCCGCCCACTTTGGCCTTCCAAAGTGCTAGGATTACAGGCATGAGCCACTGCACTAGGTCACAGATACTCAAGTTCTGCTTTAGGAAAAACAAAAAACTGGATTTGAAGTCTTTTAGTAAAGTTGGGACTATAGAGTATAAAACTGTTACAGTGTCATTTGTGGCAAAACTAAATTGATGTTTTTGTTTTTATGATTGGAGTCAGTAGACTCTGCAGTTGAAAGTTCAGGAATGAATGCAGGAAGCAAAGCCTCATCTTACTACGAGGTTATTTCTCACTGTCTTCATGTTTTAATCCTAGTCCTCGTCTCAAAGATACAGCCTAATAATCTTTCCTCTGTTCTTTTTCCTTCTTGGTATTATTCAGGTCCTCCCTTAAGATAAACACAGAAGCCTTCTTGGATTTAAGGATTTATGGTTCATCTCTGTAGGGAAACAGCAAAATAGCAAATATTAATAGATATGTCAACAGTGTAGACATACACACAAACATGTATGTGAATTAACAGTAAACAGCCCTTATAATGAACTCTTTTTGGTATTCAGAATATTTTTGTCATCTCCATCCTTTCCACACCCCTGCCTCAAAAGTCCTCTAGACTTCAGCTTAAATATCCCATTCTCAGAGAAACTTTTCCTGACCTTCAGATGAATTAGACCTTCAGACTATCACCCTTAGCATCCTGTACTTCTCCTCTGTGACACTAATTAATAAAGAAAAAAAAAACATGTAATTAGCTATTTCATGTCTACCTCTCTTATTAAGATGTAAACTGCATGAAAAGAAGGACTCTTCATTATATTTGACTTGTATATCAAGTACATGTTCAGTTAGTATTTCTAAAATAGGAAATAGGGTAAGAAAATCAGTAATCAGATAACATTTCAAATGGATATCCCTGTGATAAGATAGGAGAATCAAGTCAGGTAAGGAGAGAGTGTGACTGACATAAGGAAGGCACTATTTGAGCAAAGTTCTCAGGGAATGTCTTTCTGAGTAGTTGACAGGTGAGCTGAGACCAGTCTGAAATGAGAGGGGAGTATGCAGGCTTCCAGGAAGGATCATTCAGGGATGGGGCCAGCAGGGTAGGTCCTGAGACGTCATCACTGCCTTGTTTTATTCTATAAACATCATGAAGGGAAGATATTAGAGATGAGGAAGGCGTGTGACAGATTATGTAGTTCCTGCTTAATAATTTGAAACAAGGGAACGATATAATCTAACTCTAAATGAAAAAAAATAATTTTGTTCACTTTGTTGAGTCTACAGTATAGAGGGTCAAAGATGCAAGTGGGAGGAACAGCTATAGGAAAGAAGATATCAGCTCTGACTAAGGTGGTAACAATGAATATGGTAAGACAAATTAAGATTCAGGAATATTTTGCAGGTAGAGTCAATAAGGCTTTTGGAATTATTGTGAAGTGACTATGTTGTCTGTGGTGTATACCCTAAGGTTCCTTGTCACACGCCAGGAAAATTTAGGACACAGACACACACGAGGAGTTTAGGAGCAGGAGGTTTAATAGGTAGAAGAGAAGAGAATGAGAAACAGCTTCCTCTATACAGGAAGGGGTCCTCCAAGCAGAAAGGACTGACTGCTGCAGAATGTGCAGTTTTATACTCCAGTTTGAGGTGGTGGTGTCTGATTTACATAGAGCTCACAGATTGGTTCGATCAGATATGGCATTTACATAGGGTAAGGCTGGTCACCCCCACCCTAATCTTCTTATACAAATGGGCTTTCGGTTGATTGACACCATCTTGTGGGCTCCTTACAAAGCACTTGGCTGGCAGAGAAGGGAAGATGGAGCTGCCACCTTGAAAAATGTCTAGTCCTTAGTTCCTGCAGGCATTCACCCTTGCAAGCTCCTAGGTTGCAGGCTGCTCTTTGTTAGAAAATGGCTTGGGACTGCTTTTCATTAAAAAGAAAAGTCAGGCCGGGCGCGGTGGCTCATGCCTGTAATCCCAGCACTTTGGGAGGCCAAGGCGGGTGGATCACGAGGTCAGGAGATCGAGACCATCCTGGCTAACATGGTGAACCCCCGTCTCTACTAAAAATACAAAAAAATTAGCCGGGCGAGGTGGCAGCGCCTGTAGTCCCAGCTACTCGGGAGGCTGAGGCAGGAGAATGGTGGGAACCCGGGAGGCGGAGCTTGCAGTGAGCCAAGATCCAGCCACTGCACTCCAGCCTGGGAGACAGAGCGAGACTCCGTCTCAAAAAAAAAAAAAAAAAAAAAGCCATACCAAGGACTCCCATGCACTTGCTGTCTGCTAAGTAATTCCTTCTTAACTCCTGTGTCAATTGGCTATTGCAGTTTGAGAGGAAGAGTAGAAATCAAAAAATTCTAGTTTTTTGGCAACTGTCAGATGTAAGTGGAATCATCAGAGATATAGAAGGAAATGGTAACTTCTGTTATGGCCACATAAAATTTGAGACGCCTGTTAGATACATGATGTGTATGCTGGGCAGCAGGTTGGATGTGTGGATCAAAAACTCAGACACAGGTTTGGGGCTAAAATGTAAATTTGGGAGAAGTCAGCACTTAGATTATATTCAAAGCTATAGGATTAGATGAGATGCCTGGGGGAGAAGGTTTGAGGTGGAGAAGGAAGCATGGAGGAGGGAGGGGGAGAGGAAAAAAAACAGCAAAAGCAATGATAAGAAGTAAGAAAGGAGGAAAACCAGGTGAGGGGTACAGAAAATTTTGTCAAGTAATTTGCTTATGTAATTAAATGAGGTTGTGACTTGATAGAGGTGAAGGTAGGTTTGGGGGTTTTGATTTGTCTTTAAGGTGGGAGAGTCTGTACTTGCATACATTATGTGAAGACAATCCAATCAGGAAGAAAAAATGGATAGAAGAGGAGAGATGTTGTTAAACCAGCAGAGGCTCTGAACACTACAATGATATGATCTAGTGCACGGTTATCCATTATTAAAAATCATTGTACTGCAGAGAGTGTGGCACATTTCTTCTCAAATTACTGATCACCTCAATGTATGGCCTACTGAGCAATTATAGATATGACTGGATAAGAGTTATTTGCAATGAGCAAATATTGATTGCAAGAAATAAACTCACTTATATGACTATAGATGCAAGGAGATTGGTACATTTCATGATGGGAGAAGTATTTTCTTAAGTGATCAGTAAAAATTGTTGGATTGAATCAGTGAAATCACCACATGTGATGCAGGCAGCGTTTTTGAAGTGTAAGGGCAGAGGCAAAGGAGAAAAATAGTCTTCAGAGAGTGAGGAAGCCAGTTGTCCCATGGTGGAACTTCAGGGCAGTGCTGAATGCTTTCTTAAAATTTAAGGTTAAATTTAAAGTGTGATGGATCTACAGAGTAATTTATTTTTGTCCTCCATCAACTGGCAGGCACTCATGAAATAACTTGAATTGTGTTTAATTAGGTTTGGGGCTTTGTCAGGCAAATATGATAGAAGACAAAGGAGCAAGAAAATAAATAAGTAATCAGATAAAATTTGGACTTGAAGATATTTACAAGGAAGTGAGTTTACTGACTGACTATGAAATCCAAGCCAGGCAATGAGGGAAGTGGTAAAAAATGTTGTGAGAAGAATGGTGTTGGATTAGAGGTCTCAAGGAATGAAAAGAATTGTTAAAATGAATGAAACTAAATTTAGTTAGCTGGAAAGATAGGCAAAGGTTACAAATTGGAAGACAGAAATGGAGATGTTTAGATGTGGTCTTTGGTTATAAAATGAAAGTTTGATCCTCATCTATATGATCCATGCTGTAAGACTTTTGAAGTCATTTTCAAATAACTACAAATGTTAAATCAGAACACATCACTTGGATGTAAAGTAGAAAAAAAAAATGCCTCTTAGTTCAATTCAAGGAGAGTTAGCTGGTATTCACAGTTGTATACTATTTCAGAAAAGAAAAATATGGATTTGGGAACCTCATTTGCTCTTAGATTCTTCAAAATATATTTTCACGTATGCACTATACATCAGTGATTTGAAAGTGTAAGGGCAATTCACAGAATCACCTAATTCCCTCTCAGTTTTCTCCCAGGTTTATGTGTTGGGAACATTGCAATTATATGATATATAATATCCTTTTTTTAACCATGTTTGGTACCATGTCATAAAAGTAATATGAAGCTATAACCTTCCAACTGAAATACTGTATAACCTACCATTATAGATTTTCTGAACTAAGGTAAATGCTTCACTAACATTCAAGGGTAGATATGTTGCACATAAAAGGATCTGCACTGTAAGATCATTGAGGAATAAATGAAAATCACATGTACATTGATAAACATACAGGTTGGCAGTTTGCCCCTTAGTTAAATTAGCTGTTATTATATGGTGGGTAGACAGTAAATATTTCTTTAAATGAGTTCTTTGTCATAAAACAACATATTAAAATAAGAACTGCAACATAAGAACAGTAATCTGTTGCTTAAGAATTGAGGGAAATAAAGAGTAGACATTTAGCTATATAGTTTACTAAATGGTTTTCATTTCATTACATTATCTGTGAACTTTTCATTTTATACTTGGTATTCTGTGTTTCCTTCATAGATTGTTGTTTGAAAGTCGATATACTTTTTCCAAATTCTAGAAAGTTAAACTACTCTGGGGAGTACAAAATTCTTTAAAGAATTTTTTGTATGTATATATCAAAGATTAATCACTCCAGAGCTTATATTTTTACCTGTGGACATTTATCCCCATTCCAGATTAACCTTTCTCCAGTCATATGTATAACTGTTTAGAAGGCAAGAATATAGAGTCAATGATTTGAAAACAAATGTGCCCCACTCTCCATTGTACAATGATTTTCAGTAAAGATGTTTAAATGAGTAAAAAGATTATATTTCTTTGGAATTCAATTAGATAAAATAGTAACATTTTTCAGGATGTCATAAAGTTAGGCTAATTTTTCTGATAGTCATGCCTTAGGTTGATGTGGGATATGTAAGATGAAATTAGTTTTACACTGAAATCATATTTGGTGTAAATGTATAGTTACATATATTACAGTGGCCTAGCAGTGTCGACAAGTATGCTATTTTTCTTCCACAAAGAGATTTCCAGTTGCCTCAAATATTTTTCCCCTTTTGGTTTGATTAGTATAGAAGGCATGTATTTGAAACTTAGAAATTGAGCTGAGACCTCAAAGCTCAGTTCAGTTAAGAGTTTCATGTCCTGGAGCGATGCTGCCACCAGAGTCAACATCATAATCACAAATGGTATTCTCATGGAAATCAGATCACTTGATGTGGATGTGTGGGAAAGAAACCAAGTGGCTATATGACATAGTATACCACATAATAAAATCACACACCAACAGCAAGAAATTGTGTTTCCACAGCATGAAAATGATATATGGCCACCAGCTGGAAAGGAACGGAAACGTTCAATAACCAAAAATCCCAAAATTGGAGGTTTGCCTCTGATTCCTATACAGCATGAGGGGAATGCAACCCTGGCCCGGAAAAATATCGAGGTAGGTTAGGCTTTTGTTTTATATTCAATTATAGAATATATTTTCCTGTGTCATAATGTGATTAGGTCATTAATTCATGGGCTTCAAAAGCACAATAATCATCACTTTGAAAAGCATGGTAATAATCACATACAACAAGAAAACAGTGTGAATAACCGTATACCTTTTATTTTAACGTCATTGACCACCCAATCACATATGCACAATACTACTAATTTTCTTACCTCTAAAGTAGCCAATTTTAAATATGCGTATAGAAATTCTGGTGGTAAAATCACAACTTCAAATTCATTTTAGGGCTTACTTAAAACACCCTCAGAGTAAGCCCATAGCAGAGTATGTCTGGAGCCCTGGTAACTGAACTTTCTAGTTATATAATCACATTTCAGTGCTTTGGGAACTGATGGGATGTCTCAGTTAATTTAAGGACCTACAAGATGACCCCTGAGAATAAAAAAAAAATTGGCATCTTTCATGAAATCCACTGCTTGTTTTCCTTCTCACCTTGAGGGTTGGGAGAGCATAAGCGACATCAATCTTGACATGAACTTTGGCCTCTTCAGCAAAGAACATGGGCTGTTTACACTTAAAATTCATTAGCCACTTTGGGACCAACACATATTTCAGTGTCTTAATTGACTCCCTGAAAGCAAAAAGAAATGCAGTTAGAAGTTGTTCTTATATCTTCCTTGAGCCTAAATTTGGAATTAAGTTGTTTGAATCTTTTGCTCTCCAAACAGAAATAACTTTTGAAAGACAGAAGCCATTTTGACCTAGTGATTAGATTTTTAAACTTTTTGTGCATATCCTTTCTTGAACATTTATCCCACTGTAATATTCCTTCTCTAAAAGAGAAAAGCTTCAAAAATAATGGTCCTTTGTTTACTGCTTAGACGTTCTGCCCTGATGTAATCAAAGTAAGGAATATGTCTCCAAGAAATCATGACCTCATCAATTCTTCCATTTTATTTTTTTCTGTACCATTTTCTGTACCTCAAGTTTTTTTGTTTGTTTGGTTTTTTTTTTTGGTAATAAACTGCTCTGCAGAGAGTTCCTTATCTAATCAAGCATCTTAAAATTCTAAGAGTTACATTTCCCAGGAACCCAGGACAGCGGACACAGGCTGAACAGATGAAACTAACATAGGGAGAGACACGCCCTACAGTGACTATAGCTTCTTTTGACATTGCCTTCGAATCAGTTATCGAGCAAAGCAAAATATTGGGATCAAAATGCATTCACCAATATCTAGTATAGATGATGACTGACTGTATAATAATTTCTTAGCCTTATCCCAAATCCACAATTTCAGAGACAATTTTTAACATATTTAAGATAGGAAAACTGATGAACTGAAACTATGAAGTGTTACAAGCTTTTAAAATAATTAGAATGCATTATCAATTACTGGAAAATTTCTGAGTCTTTAAAATAAACCAAGCTCTTTTGTAATAAGGTAGTTTGGTGATTTGATAAATTTGGCAAAGACATTTTTTAACTGTTCTAATGTTGGAAAAGCCAATGAAACTTACTTTATAAGACAATAATATAATTTTTTTAAAAAATTTCATATAAACCATTAAAATATTTGCCATAGAATTAGATTCATATAAAAATTTTAAAAATATATTTACAAAATAACCATTTTTGACCCTTTGTTTTAAAAATGAAAAGTGAGTTAAAATATTATTAAGTAGGATATATTAATAAAAATTAGTCATAACAATGAATATATTCAAGAAGAATTACTTTTCAAAGAAGTTGTTGGCAGATTGATAAATTTTGTGGCTACGCCTGGCTTTCATTCAGTCCTATTGAAAGTCGTATGAGAATACCTTATCCAGGTAGGGAGGGCTTCATGGCGAAAGTGACTTCTAAAGTTAATTGAGGAAATTAGTCGTGAGCCAGCTGAAAATGCCAGGTTGTTGGCAGAGGAAATCGCACATGAAGACGCAAACAGAATGCTTAAGAATGCACAAACTATATACTACCTGTGGTCCTCCTGCTGAGTCCCTATAAAATCATGGATCTCTTACTTTAACTCCATTGTTCTAAGCTGCTTTATCTGTAAGCATATGGGGTTAATAAATGTCACATGATTAAGTGACATTATACATGAGACTTTATTAGAATAATGACTAGCATATCTTTAACATATATTGAGACAAAATATTAAGGAACTTGGAAGATGATATGGAATACTTCGTTAGTTTTTTTCAAAATTGCTATTTTAAGAGCAATATCTGTAAAACAAAAATAATGAGCGAAGAATGATGATGCACTGAAGCAGAAAATCGTGACATAGAATCCCACCCATAAGCCCATCTTTGCTGTTGGTATCCTGAGCACAGTTTGATGTGGTAGAAAGAAGCACATTGGTTTTAGAAAGGCCAACCTGGGGTCCTCTCCCAAGCTCTCACTTGTGCGACCTTGGGCAAATTTTTTTCTTTGAGTTTCTATTTCTGCATCTGCAAGATAAAGACAATTTACTTTAAACTATGAATAATACGGAGTTTAAAGCATTTAAAGTGTTGTTGTGATGATTAAATGTATTGATATGATTATGTATTTTACAGCATGAAGATTACTACAGTGAGTTTGGTAATGAAAGCCAATTAAGAGAGTTTCTAATATACTCTGTACATATTGGTCATGTTACTTTTTGGTGTCCTAAGACCTCTGTAACCATTGGCTTGCCTCTGGATTTAATGGAAAATATGAAGGCACAGGCTAAAGCCATATGAGTGATTTCCTGTGAGAACCCATTCCTTATACCATTCTCTAGCTATGATAAGTAAAAACTACTCTCTCTGCCACTAAGAGAGACAGACTCTGTTTCATATTATTATTTCCATTCAAAACATAAAAACTCCAGGGCTCTCTTAGACACAGAATGTAGGGGCCAAGTAATAACATCCATAATGCTGAAATTTGAAGTACACTACTGACATGGTTTGCATCTGTATCCCCACCCAAATCTCATGTTCAAATGTAATCCAGTGTTAGAGGTGGGGCCTGATTGGAGGTGACTGAATCATTTTAACATATTCTAATGAAACTTTGGAATTAAGCTAGATATTAAACATTTCTTCCAATAAATTTCAGAGTAGGAAAAATGTGTATAACTTAAGATGTATAATCAGAATCTTACCAGAAAATTCCAAATTTTAAAATTATTTGTACATTATATTCATGAAAATATTTTTATTCCACTTGAATTTTCTGTTATAAATTTATGTTTGGATCTACTGGAATTAAGGAAAATAGACAAGAAAATAGAACATTGTTGTATACTGGGAACTGCTTAAACTTTTCTTCATTTACTCATTCAAAAATATTTATTGATCATTTCCTATGTGTATACAAGGTTCACACTTCAGTGAACTAATTAAACAAAAGGGGAAAAAAAAAACCCAGAAATCTTGCTAGATACATCTAAGCAGGATTGAGTTAGAAGAGGTAAGTATGAAGTGAGATTAAATTTGGGTAACCCAAAAGACATCTTTGAAGTGGTATGTTGAATGCATGTTAAAATGAATTTCCATGGATTGCATTTAACAGATGTTTCTCAGCTTATGATGGGGTTACATACCAATTAACTCACCATAAGGTGAAAATACATAAAATAAAAAATACGTGAAATACAACTAACCTATGGAATGTTGTAGCTTAGCCTAGCCTAGCTTAAACGTGCTCAGAACATTTATGTTAGCCTCCAGCTGGGCAGAATCATCTGGCAACACAGCACACCATATCAGTTATTCACCCTCCTGAGTCCATGGCTGACTGGTAGCTGCAGCTCACTGCCACTGCCCAGCGTCACCAGGGAATGTCCCACCATCAAAATTCAGATTTTGAAGTATGCTTTCTACTTAATGCATATTTGTTTTGCGCCATTGTAAAGTCAAAAAATCGTATCGAAGCATTGTAAGCCAGGGACTGTCTGTAGTTGATTTTGTAGCTCTAAGATTAGTATATAAATTAATGCATGCCACTTTTATCGAAGTAAAGTTAGGACCTAAGTCATAGAAATGAGCTCTTTTATAGGAAGCATCAACTTTTATGTGGATTGCACTTTCTAAACCTAAATTGTGCCAAATCTTGCTTCCCTGTGAGACATTTTATTTTATTTTTAGAGTGCAAGAGCAGAACTTGAAAGGCTGCGGCTCATTGAAAAGTGTGATAAAGAGTCCGTGGACTCGAGCTTAAAGGAGAGAGCTTCTATGGTGGCCCACTGCCTGGAGCACAAGGACGATAAACTTCGAAATCGAACCCGAAAACATCGGAGTTTCAACTGCCTGGAGGACACAGAGCCTGAAGCCCCACTCGGGCAACCAAAAGGCCATAAAGGACCAAAGACATTGAGGAAGACTGAGGACAGGAATAGCAAGGCTACTTTGGACTCTGATCATAAGTTACCATCAAGGGTAATTGAAGAACTTAATGTGGTTCTACAGCGGTCAAGAACCCTTCCAAGAGAATTACAGGATGAGCAGATTTTGAAGTAGCAAATACAATGAATTGCTCCCCAGATTATTTTTTTAATTATTGTATGCAATCTTTATGTGTAAATCTGAAACTGAACTATAAGATAATTCATAAGAATTTGCCTATTGATAGGCAAATTTGTCTATCTATACTTAGGCATTTAAGGAGCATTTAAAAATATGTATATATGTGATTAAGTGTAAGAATAACTTTATTTTGGTCTGAACAAAGCTTGTAAAGTTCCATTGTATTAACTTTGTGTAAGAAGACAATGGGTTACTTAGGTGGTCAGCCCTTTTAAAGTAGTTATTTGTTAAGTGGTATAATTTATGAGCAGAAATCTCAAACTGTACTGTATTGTATAAAATGCTGTGTTTAAATGAAGTCTAAGAAACTATCTGTAACATATTTTGCACTTTGAGAAACCTTGTATATTGAATTACCATATGTTTTTAGGTTTACAGAGGGTCTACCTTAGGGAAAAGAAGGGAAGTAAATTGAAAAAAGGGGGAGAATGTATTGTAGTGGTTGCCTAAAAACACTGGAGCTTTTAAAAGAAGCAAGGAGTTAAATGTCCTGCAAAACAAGGAAGTGAGCTAAGATTCATTCAAGTTCACTAATGACCAGAACTTGTCAATGAGAAGCCACTTGTTAAGAAAAAAGTCCGGTGTTTATTTCCCAAGAGTAATATTCGGCCAACAGATGTAAATAATAGCACTAGCCACTCTTATTAATATTTATAGTGTTAGAAAATCAGCCACATTATAGATTCACTACGTTTGAGCTCATTGTTGGTGGCTGCTAAGAGGAAACTTACACTGCATTGGAGAGGTTGTGTACACAGGATCTGGCCTGGATGCTGATTTCACTGTCGTTGTATGCAAGCATTTTTTTTTTTTTTTTTTAGAATTTCTGACTATACTTTTGGTACGAACAAAATTCATCACCACAAGGTCCTGTTGTTCTGTTTGATTTTTACAATTTTTATTATTATTTTAAGTAAGATTATAATGTTTTTCTTTGAATTCTCAGAAATAACTGGAAGAATACAATATTATGGCCATTATGGAGCCGGGGGTAGTTGGTGGTTTACTGTACATTTGGGGCTACTTGTTCACATTTAATCTAGGTGTTTTTTGTTTTTTGTTTTGTTTTAAATAAAGGAGTGGTCTCTTCCCTGTACTTGTGAATAAGGACAAAGCCCTATTTTTGTTTCCACATAAAGATCAGCTACTGAATTGGTGATTTTCCTGACAGACAATACTATCTAATCATAGTTCATGTTAGGGGAAGCATTTTTTATCAGTTTCTTTAAAATTGGATTATGTTTGCTGAGTTTTGATATTTAACATTATTTTATGTAGCTAAGCCTTTTTTTTTTTTTTTTTTTTAGCATTTCTTTTTTATTCTTCAATCTATATACACAGGCCCATACTTCAGTCAATCCAATCATAGTACAGTGATGTGGTAGTAAATCCTATGAATTTCTTCATTGTAAAATATAGATCATTTGTATTTTGGGGTGATAAAATAGTTCACCATCGGTATGAGATATTTATTCTTTAAATCAAAGTAAATTAGAATTTTTAAAAAGCACAAAACTGCCGGACAGTTTATGAAATAGGTGGCACTATTAGGGAATCTTTCTTTAAAGCAAGAAATCATGTTATTTAGAAAGAAAAACTAATCTTAAACATACTATTTCTAATAAATATTTATATTTTTATGAAATAAAAGGTATGTGGAAATTAATGTTTGGTGATGTTGGACAGTGGAAAAGTATCTAGAGTTTTTACCTGCCTTATCTGAATTTTTCTTGAAACTTGAGCTTAAATTCTAATAGCTGTTTCCCTTTCTATTCTGAACAATTGTCTCCATTTTTCAAGTTTAAGATAAGGGCTAATGATGACATCTCATTTATTTTGAGTAAACATTAAAATTGTTTTACAAGTCTACTAGAATGTGACTTTATTATTTTCAGAACTTGAAGGTTGTTATTGTGAAATAGATCAAGTAGATTAGCTTTCTTTCCTTTTAAAAAAATTTGAATTTAATATGTACTTCAACTAGTCGTATTGTTTTTCCAAACAGGTCAATATAAGTAGCTTTGTTTATTTAAAGGCCCACTTGCTGAGAACCAGGCACAATTACAGGCTCTGTGGCCTGTATTGATGAGGCTGCTGACCAGCCACATCCCTACAAGATGCATAGTACCACCCCTGGTTTATGGGCATCTCTACCAGCCTTGCCATATCGCGAGAAGGCCAAGGGCCTGGGACAAGTGTCTGGCACCTCAGCAGTGCCACTTGGTCATTCATGAGCAGCCCCTCATGTTCAGGAACAGTGCCTGACACCCAGGCCACTTCAGCTGCATCCACTGTAGGAAGGAGCTGACTGGGGAGGCCCATGAGCTGAAGGGTGAACTCTACTGCCTGCCCTGCATTTACAAGATGCTGTCCCTATTTTTAGGGACTGCAGCCAGCCCATCAAGGGTCACATAGTGAATACACTGGGCAAAGAGTGGTGGTATGCAGAGCTTTTTGCCCTGAGTGTGAGAAGCCATTCCTGGGGCTCTGGCACTATGAGAAGAAGGGCCTAGCCTACTTTGAGATCCACTACAGCCAGCTCTTTGGAACATCTGCTACAGCTGCAGCCATGAAGTCAAGGGTGACATGGTGTTGGTCCTCAACAAGGCCTGATGTGTGTGAACTGCTTCTCCTGCTCCACCTGCAAGAGCAGGCTCACTCTGAAGATCAACTTTGTGGAGTTTAACATGAAGCCCGTGTGTAAAAGGTGCTAGAACTTCCTACTGGAGCTGAAGAAGAGGCTGAAGAAGTCATTGGAACTCACATCTCGCTAGGCCCAGCCCAAGTCTGGGGACCTCAACTCTGAAGGCTCTCTTGCCTGGCCCTTCGCTCCCTCCCTTTCTTCTCCCAGAGGACCCCTCCCTTCTCCCTCTCCAGCTCACTGCCTTCTCACAGCCACCTCCCACTTCTATTGTCTGCTCTTGGACTCCTCATCTCCCTTTACCTGCTTCTTGTCCTCCCCTTGTCTCCTTCCTCATCATCTCCACCCTTTCTATTATCTTATCTCTGCCTTCCCCAATGTCTTTTCTCTCCTTTGCAGTGGCTCCTCTCCTTCCTTCTGTGCAGAGGCAGGGACCCAAGAGGTGGGGAGCCTGTGAAGGGCCTGGGCCCATGCCCTGTGACTGCATCTACCTCTGTCCATGGGCTTCAGCCTGCAGAACTCCAGAGATAGCAAACCAGGGTCTGGGGGCACCAGGGCTCCTATCCTAACTTGTCCCTCCCCACAGAGGACCAGGATGCACATATTCCTGTGGGACCCTCCACCCCAGAGTGTACCCACAGCCAGGGCAGCCCACCTGAGCTGCAGGATTAGGGCTATGCTTCAACCTCACCATTCACTTAACCAAGTAGTATCCCTGGGCCCAAACTGGGCCAACAAATCCTGCCACACCATTCACTACCTGCAGGGACAGGAGTCCACTTCCATCAAGAGGACTTTCTGAAATCCCAGCTTGGCCCCTGCCTCTGGCTAGGCCACTGTGGTTCTCCCCTCTCCCAGCCCAGAAGCTGTGTTGAGACTTTGGGTGTGGCTGGGAACAGGAGGTGATAGGGTCAGAGGTGGCTTATTGAGCAGACCTGATGTTGGAACTCAGGCTTGCAATAATGAAGGCTTAGTCACTGGGGGAAAAAAAAAAAAAAAAAAAGTGCTCAAAGGCACTCTGAATTTTATTTTTGTAGTGCTAACATTAATTAGACATGGTTTTTAAGTAGTTGATTTCTAAACAAATCATTACCTGATGATTCATCAAAGTGTCACTGAGAACTCCAAACCAAGCAAAAATAATTGAAGCAAAAATATGACTTATGAATATAACCATATTAGCTGCTGAATTGCATTATTTTTAATTCAAAAACTGTAGTGCAAAAGCAATTTTTAAAATGCATCAAATTTATTCAAACAGGTTGTAGCATGCAGATATTTGCATCTTTTTAAAGTTTTAATAATCACTTTAGGAAGAAGATTAAAACTTTCACCATCTCAACAAAATTTGCACAAAGGCTTACATATTCTTCCTTACTCAAATGAAGTTGTAATCAACCCCCAAACTCATTTGGCTTGCCTCACAAATGCCAGTAAGTTAAGGAGGTGAAACAAGGAAGGCAACTTTCTTTTGGAAAGCCAGCAAACCAAGAAGATGGATGACTAGTGTTCTAAAGTACCATTTTAAGTCAGTACAAATTTCAAGCTGTTTTTATGTTTAAGGTAGCAGGAAGAGGAAGGGGTTGGGATCAAGAGGTGACCACAACTGCAGACATTTGGGAACTAGTGAAGAGTTTCAGGCAGCTGGAGCTGCTTCGTCCATAGTCAGATCACAATACTTCTGTAAATCTTTATTATTATTATTATTATTATACTTTAAGTTCTAGGGTACATGTGCACAACATGCAAGTTTGTTACATAGGTATACATGTGTCATGTTGTACCCATTAACTCGTCATTTACATTAAGTATTTCTCCTAATCCTATCCCTCCCCCAGGCTCTCCGACAGGCCCTGGTGTGTGACGTTCCCCGCCCTGTATCCATGTGTTCTTGTTATTCAATTCCCACCTATGAGTGAGAACATGTGGTGTTTGCTTCTGCAAATCTTTAACAAAACATAGCTGTTTACATACTTTAATTGCAGAGTTAGTTAAGAAAACTACATGACTGTTTTCTTTGAATTTTTTCTCAGTGCTCTAAAATTAACCTACGAACAGGAATGGGTAAAGACCTCTTATACAAAAAATGGAGTTAGTTATGTTAGTTTTTCTACTGTTTCACTGTTACCAATTAGTTAAGACAGAATTATTTGTGAAATGTGACCATTTTTCTGTCATGTGTACGATCATCACACTGATTTCTAATGATCAGGAAATGCAAAGCACAGAAATGAACCAGGTGACTAAAGTTTATGCTTTTAAGTTGTATAATTATTTTAACATTCTTTTATTTAAAATGTTATAAATTACATTGTATTCCCCCTTCTCTGCCACAGCCACTATATGCTGAATGTAAAGGTTTTAATAATTGAGCTACCTCTGCAGATTTAACCCTTTTTATGAGTCAAAATTCAGAGCCCAAATGTCCTCATCTGAGAAGCAGGAATGTTAATTAACTTGTTGACTTTTTTCAACAACTATTTTATACACACATACACATAAATTATGAGCCAGGTATATGAAATAGATACATATATAGTAGCAGACCAGAGGTACAATAAATGTTAGTTATTAATGTATTAGTCCTCCTAGCTCTCATTTGATCTTAATTGACCCTAATGGTTTTCAGAACTGCTTCTAGCAGGCAGATCAAGATGATGAAATAGAAGGCTCTTCCAGTTGTCCTTCACGAAAGAACACCAACCTAATAACAACTATCCACACAGAAAACAAACTTCATATGAACCAAAAATCAGATGAGCTCTCACAGTACCTGGTTTTAACTTCGTATCACTGAAAGAGGCACTGAAGTGGTAAGAAAAACTGCCTTGAATCAACACAATGCTTCCCCAAACTCCTAGCAGCAGCAGCATGCTGCATTGAGGAAACATTTTAGAACAGTGGACTGGGCAAAAATTTCTTGAGTCATATCCCCACAAGCACAGGCAACCAAAGCAAAAATGGACAAATGGGATCACATCAGGTTAAAAATTTCTGCATAGCAAAGAGAACAACCAACAAAGTGAAGAAACAATCCAGAGAATGGCAAAAAGAAAAAAAAAAAAAATTTGCAAACTATCCATCTGTCAAGGGATTAATAACCAGAATAAATAAGAAGCTCAACAGCTCTATAGGAAAAAAATCTAATAATTTGATTAAAAGTTGGCAAAAGATTTGAACAGACATTTCTTAAAAGAAGACAAACAAATGGGAAACAGGAAGATGAAAAGGTGCTCAACATAAATTGTCAGAAAAATGTAAATCAAAAGTATAATCAGAAATCATCTCACCTAAGTGAAAATTGTTTATACCCTCAAAACAGGCAATCATAAATGCTGGTGAGATTGCGGAGAAAAGGGAACCTTCTTGGTGGGAATGTAAGTACAATTACTATGGAGAACAATTGGAGGTTCCTCAAGAAACTAAAAGTAGAACTACCATATGATCCAGAATCCCACTGCTGGATATGTACCCCAAAGAAAGGAAATCAGTATATCTAAGAGATAGCAGCACTCCCGTGTTTGTTGCAGCACTATCCACAATAACCAAAATATGGAAGCAACCTAAGTCTCCATCAACACATGAATCGATAAAGAAAATGTGGTACTTCTACACAATGGAGTGCAATTCATCCATAAAAAAGAATGAGATTCTGTTATTTGTAACATGTATGGAACTGGAGGTCAATATTCTAAGTGAAATGAGCCAGGCTCAGAAAGACGAACACCACCTGTTATTTATTTGTGTGATCTAAAAACAAAACAATGGAATTCATTGAGATAAAGTGCAGAAGGATGGCAACCAGGGCTGGGAAGGGTCGTGGGATGGGGGTTGGGGGCAAGATAAGAATGGTTAATGGATACAAAAGAATAAAAAGAATCAATGAGACCTAGCATTTGATAGCACAACAGGAATAGGGTGCCTATAATCAGTTTAATTGTACATTTTAAAATAACGAAAAGAGTATAACTGGATTGTTTAACACAAAATATAAATACTTGAGGGAATGGATAACCCATTTTTCATGAAGTAACTAGTCGACATTGCATCCCTGTATCAAAACATCTCATGTACCCCATAAGTGTATACACCTACTATGTACCCGTAAAGATTAAAATAAAATTCTTTAAAAAAAAATTAAAAAGCTGCTTCTAGCAATTTTTTCTTTATCCTTTAAAACATATGTTATGCACTAATAAAGCAGATTACCACAAGTTATG